TCTGTGTTCCTGTTACGTTCAGTAATCTTCAGTGAAATGTTAAACTTCACCTCACCTCAACTCAGCTCAACTCAACTCAACCATGCCTCACTTCACTTCACCTAATGGTTAAAGTGTTCGCAACTCTTTACGCTGGGGACCCGAGTTCTATTCCCCACATGGGTACTATGTGTGAAGCCGATTCCTGGTGTACCCCACAGTGATATTCCTGGAATATTGCTAAAAGCAGCATAAAACCATACTCACTTACTTGCCTCGCCTCACCTCACCCCACCTCACCTCGCTTCACCTCAACCTTCACCTCACCTCAACCATCCCTTCCCTTCACCTCACCTCAACCCTCACCTCACCTCAACCGTCACCTCACCTCACCTCACCTCACCTCCTGCACAAACCAATATGTTGCGCAAGTGAGTGAGTTTCCAAAAATATCACATCAAGAAAACCAGAAATGGGCTTCACACATTGTACCCTTGTGGGGAATCAAACCTGTCTTCTTAATGACAAGTGAAAACTTTAACCACAAGGCTACCCAACCACCCCCCAAATGTTTACGATATTATACCCATTCAGGGTTACATCATATACATAGTAACATGATTATCTACATTACCAAATACAACAGTTAACAATAATTTGGTTATTCATTGGATCCACTAGTCTGTTCTTTGAGTCTCTGATTTGCCATGAGTTCATCTCTGACCATTAAGCATACACAGTGGGAAGCCCATGTGGATTCTAGCTTAGAATACAATCTATGATAGTCATAGGTCATTTAATGGATCATGTGGTCACTTTGAGGCTTTTCATTGGCTGCTCTGGCAGCTGACTGTGGAATGCTGCTCATGACATCAACCACCTGTCTGTCTTTCTGTGACTTAATTATTTATAAATTGAGTTCAGTCAATCTTGGCTTTTGGCACCACGTTGAGATACGACACTGCGATAAGGCTGACACGCTGTTCAAAGCGCTGGTAATCCATAGTCCAGTATAGAAATAGTAATTTCTTCTGACTTCTAATCTTGGAAAATGACCACTCGCTTGACCACATGATCCAACACAGTGGGATTATTTTTCCTCATCTGGTCCAAAATTGTCCTGGTACCACCGACGGCAAGGAGAATGAAAACGTAAGTTCTACATCTGAGAGGTGGGTTGATTCAATGGGACTAATGGCAGCAAGGGCTTGGGGTCGCATTTTCATTTGTTGGCCAGACACGTCTCTGACATTTCCCAATTAATGTTTCATGAAGATGGTGGTACTGCTGTTAGGGAGCGATGAAAGCTATGTCTTTGGTCAGCTCTGACCTTTGGGTGATGAAGGTTTTCACAGGTTTGCTACAAGGAGATCTAATTGTTTTGGTACACGTGACATTTTGTGTGATGGATCCATACCGAACTGCGTGACATCCACATGTTATTACAAGAATCAGGGGTGGTGGGGTAGCCTAGTGGTTAAAGCGTGCGCTCATCACGCTGAATATCCAGGTTCGATTCCCCACATGGGTACAATGTGTGAAACCCATTTCTGGTGTCCTCTGCTTTGATATTGCTGGAATATTGCTAAAAGCGGCGTAAATCTAAACTCACTCACTCACTATTACAAGATTAGTTTGTACGGACATTCTGGAAATTTTTTCTTATTTTTCAAAACTGTTTGTTATTTGTAATTTGTAGAAACACCTATATAACTATGAAAACCAGATTGAGTTTGGCATGTTGAAAACTTTCTTTCAGAAACAGATTAAAGAAATATGTAACTGAACAGATGGGTGAATACTACTAAAGACTGGTCAGGTCACCCAATTCTTTCGTATTACTATAGTTGATTTATCATGACATAACATCTTTGAGTAGCATATTTAGAAGTTGGAGAGTCAGATAAGGACAAACTTTAAGGAAGAACAACTTCTTTATTCGAGTGATGCGATGTTTCGATACAGATCACTTGCTTGACAAGGATACAAATATCTGTATCGAAATGTCGCACCACCCGAATAAAGAAGTTGTTAATCCATAAAGTTTGTCCTTATCTACCATGACACAACGGATCAACTTTTATAATCTGATTGAATCTGTTGGTCCTTAACTATTTTTGAGCTATATAGTTTCTGTTTTTGTTACATTAATGGTTCATTTCTAAAAAAAATAAAATTCTAAAACAAATGCATCTCTTCTTACAGTTGCTGTACCTCTTTCCATTTAATCTTCTTTTTTATTCAAACATTCCAAAACTAAATGAAATATTGAAGTATTTAAGAAGCTTGCGTAATGTTCAGCCGTCAGCGAATGATATGCAAATGAGCTTGGAATTTTCTTCAAAAATGATTTATGGTCAATTGAATCCTGTAATCATATATATATTTAAATAAAGTTTTGATTTATTTCATAAAAATGTAAATTGCATTTTTTTGGTGGAAATATCACCATTTTGTCCAAAATCAAAAACATAAATTCCAGTAAATTCATTTACCCTTCTCTCAGATGTGGCGAAAAACAATAATATATTCCCCATGATTTCATATACACGTATCATGTGCCTTTAAATGTAGTAGGGATATGTAAATTAGCATTCTCAAATCAAATCATTCATCACATGAGGTAATATCCCCAGGGTCTTTAAATAGGTTAGGTATCCTCTAAAGAGTACAGTAATTTGAGGTCAGTTTCCAATGGGGATTACAGACAGACTTCCAAGCCACATGTTCGACAGGGCATTAAAATGTCACCTCTGTGTCAAAGCACTTTGTGGAAAAGACAACACAAGTAACCAAGGAGGTGAAGACCAATGCAGAAAGGCTCTTTGCAAGCAAACTTTTCCAGTCCTGGGAAATCCAAAATCAATATTAAAGAACAAAAACGACCATGAATACACGTAATTAGATCAATTGCTACAGTCAACCCGTTATACTGCAAAATGTTTCCATGACCGCGAGATGCAATGAGGTAAAATTCGACTAAAAACCCTGTATAATAACATTTCGTGTTTGGCTTGATCCAATCGTGTTTTCTTTTGAGCTGTCGATTTCGTCAGAATTCGAAATCTTCGCACGAAATCAGCAACTGGCTGTGGTGCTATTGCAAAGAGGGCTGTTTGATCCTCTTCCCACACGTCAGTTTTGTGATGCTGTCGAAATCCATTTGGCTATGTCATACTAAAGCTTAGAGGATAGAGTTTGGTAAAGAAGAACATTCTTTATCAACTGTGAAATTAGATCAGAGTTGAATTTTCACTGAAGTCTTTTTCTATTAACGTACAATTTGGTATTAAACGGATAGAAACTATTTGAAGAAGTATTTTTATGCTGTTACTTTGCTTGATTGTTATCAAGAAACATGATTATTTGATAATCTGTTACTGACGACAGACCATATGGGATTTAAAGTTGTTGGATAAATATAGACTTCGACATTGACTGACACCAAAAATGACTCATTTGTCTACTGTCTATAGTATACGAACCACGTCCGTGGTGTAGTTGTTAGAACATCTGCCCAGAGAGTAGCAGGTCCCAGGTTTGATCCCTGTCTGCGTCATACCCAAAGATGTTAAAATATGGTACTTGTTGGTCCCTGCCTGTTGCTCGGCATTCTGTGAGCTAGCACTATAAAACATGCTCTAGTTTGGGCTATTACAAGCAGCCACACATGCACACGCATGCACGTTGTCATATGATCAAAATATTCTTAAGTGCGACATTAAACCCCATTTCACCACACCTATAGTATACGATACTGAGTCAAAGTGAAGAATACTGGAACATTCTGATACTTGGCTCGTGGTGTAATGATATAGCAGTTCAGTATTGTATAGCGATACGAGGCTCACAATACAATACATCAATCTACGACTCCTGCATCGTTACAAGTACGATTCATTACAAGTCATTGTTGTAAAAACATAAATAAAAACAGAAACTATTGAACAACCAGTTAATGCAGATTGTCCAGTATTTTCAGGTTGGTTGTTAGCAGCAGAATCTGCAAAATGCCGACAAAGTTAAAACGTTTCTCCCAAACAATATCCCATTCTTGCTATCTGAAATTTAAAAACAAATTGTTCAAGGTAATCATTTACCTTCAAATAGGTAGAGAATATGAACTTGTGGAATAGAGTACTGTATGGGGATACGAATCGTATCACAGTGTCACATATCTTTACACGTCTATTAGATACCTCAGCTGTTAAACTACAGACAGAAGGACATTGGAAAGGAAAATCTCATAGAGGTCAAATACCCCCCAAATTATTACAAAATGATACCAGATTTTTGGTTTTTGTTGCAAATGATGGACCAGTTCAAAAGGTAACATGTTCATCTTCCTACTTGGTTCCATAACTACAGTGTGGGCTCAAAGCATAAGTTTCTCGGCTCTAGACTAACATTTAGTAATGATGCATCGATATATTTTCTAAGACGATACAATTATCGATGCATTCAAAACTGTATCGATATTTAGTTTTGAAAGTATTGGTTTAAATATGTTTATGTATCGTTTATATTTTGCAATTGTATCATGTTTTTTGATGTTATGAGAGTTATGAATGATTATTTTTCATGCACAAAGATGGGAAATTAGAACTTTTTAATGTCTGAGAATAAAAAATGTTGATCTTTTTAAGGACAATTAGGAAATATTAATGTTCAAAATGTAACTAAATTTACACAATAATGCCGCCAAAATAGGTATTGTGATACATATCAAATTGTGACATGGTATCGTGATACGTATCGATTCATGAAACTTATGTGATGGACCAATTCGTAAGGTAACATGTTCATCTCCCTACTTGGTTCCATAACAACTGTTTGTGCTAAAACATAAGTTTTCCCGGCTATAGACTAATAGTCTCTGAAGTGGACAGATAATTAAAAAGAAACATTTCCCTAGAATGAATTCATAAAATATAATGAAAAGACTTTCTTCAGACCATGGTATTTTAGACTTGCCACATTTTCTAGATTTGTATGAGCTGTATGGGGTATATTTGTTTCAGGGTTTGTATGACAGATTTACCTGTGGCCCAACTTTAAATAGATTTTTGTTTGTGGACTAATATCAGCTGATGTTATTGAAGATAGCATGTCTGTCTGGAGGGATAAAGGTCGGTGGTTCAATCTTCTTGCTTTGTCAAATGGAATTAGTTAAAACATCCCACTTGTTACCCTGCCCACCTTATGGCATTAAGGGTTAAGTCAAGGAGTAGTCATCTTGGTAGTCTGTCATACAGACCCTGAAGCAAATATATCCAAGAAAGCCCATGCAAGTCTAGAAAATGTGGCAAGTCCTCACATTCTGAAAATGAAGAAAGTCTCAGGGCTCCTTTTCATTATATATATATATTTTTTACTATGAACTTTTTTCAGTAAAATATGTTCATTTCAGAGACTAGTTGTTAGTCTATCATCTTGGAGTCAGTTTGAGAAACATATTCATGTTAAACAATAGAGTTGAAAATCCAGAGAAATATTAGCAACCACACATGCACGTGCATGTACATGTATAGTGCAATAATCTTGACTGCAATGTTAAACCTCGCCCCTGCATCATGCCATTTGTCATGTGGTACTTGACTGTTCTGCCTCAACTTGTAAAGGAAGGCTTTAGATATTTTTTTGCTCTCCTGAAAAATTGAAAAATCAGAGTAATAAAAACAAAATGAGATTATTTCTCTCTCCGTCAACTTTAACAATTTCATTGACAATAAAAAACGACAATAAAGTGTCAGTCAGATTTTAGATTTATGATATTTGTATGGATCCAAACCAGGCCATGATATTTAAAAAAAACATTTATCACCTGTGCATCAATATAAGACCTTAAGCTGATTAAAAGAATCCTGTAGTATGCGTTTTTTATTCTGTAGACTAAAATGTAAAAGAAAAAGGCTTTCCTAACAACTTATATGCAAAATAAACGGTCCTCTAAAATGAGACCAAGAGATGAAAAATGGAAGAAGAATTGGTGAAACCCAATTGCGGAAATAACCTAATTTTTTAAAACTATTCCTGAAAGGTCAGTGGTGTTGGTTGTTACTTTTCCCTTCTATGTACACAATGCAATCTACGACCCTTAACAACAGCTGTTTGATTGGGATGTGTGTGTTTGCCCTGCAATCTACAAGTGCGAATATCATCAGCTGACGTTGATATTTTGGCATGTTTCTGACGCACAGTGTCAACTCATTGACACCTCGTGTTATTGATTTCATTAGCAATTTTCTCTCTCTGTGGGCCGAAGAATTATTACGTGATCTCTGAGCAACCTCGTTCATCTAAAGACGAATGCATTTCAAATTATATTACCCAGAATGCTTTTCATGTGACTTGAATCTTTTTCTATAATTATCGTTTCTATTATTTGTACTTGACTTGTAGGTTTCTGTTTAAACTGTACCGCACTTAGAATGTCTGACATTATCCTGTAGAAATTTGATGGTTAATAGTAAACTGCCAATCAGAGGTGTTTAATATTACGTTCATTCCACATGCATGTAAATTTCATGGGGTAGTTTGGAGAAATGAGTTTTGTCCATATTCATTTAAAGGCTATAAATCACCTCATTATTTTGTGAATGCAATTTGGGTTGTGCTTGAAATTAATAGGCATTCTAATGTATTTCTGAATACATGCAAACGTGGTGATTGCAGTTTCCAAGCATGTCCAAAGATATCTAATATTGGAATGTTAAAGTAAGGCAATAAACATGTCTTCATTGGGAATGTCAGGGGGAAGGGAAGATGTGGGATATCATGCTGGATGTTGTGCTTGGTGCTACACTATTAGTGCTGAAGCGCATAAGTCAACTGGTTTGGCAGTCTAACATATTGAGCATGCTGTGAGGTCAATCAAGGCAGGCAAGCCTGGAGAGTCTGCATTGTATTGCCTGATCTCCCTTTCCTTGGAGCATCCCTGCAGGCGATCTTGTACCATTCCTGTGGTTGACTTAGTGCAACGATGTACCACCAGTTTGAGCATCCCTGAAGGCGATCTTGTACCATTCCTGTGGTTGACTTTGTGCAACCATGTATCATCAGTTGGAGCATCCCTGCAGGCGATCTTGTACCATTCCTGTGGTTGACCTTGTGCAACCATGTATCATCAGTTGGAGCATCCCTGCAGGCGATCTTGTAACTTGACCTGTGGTTGACCTTGTGCAACCATGTACCATCAGTTGGAGCATCCCTGCAGGCGATCTTGTAACTTGACCTGTGGTTGACCTTGTGCAACCATGTACCATCAGTTGGAGCATCCCTGCAGGCGATCTTGTACCATTCCTGTGGTTGACCTTGTGCAACCATGTACCATCAGTTGGAGCATCCCTGCAGGCGATCTTGTAACTTGACCTGTGGTTGACCTTGTGCAACCATGTACCATCAGTTGGAGCATCCCTGCAGGCGATCTTGTAACTTGACCTGTGGTTGACCTTGTGGAACCATGTATCATCAGTTGTTGGAGCATCCCTGCAGGCCTTGTCTTGTACCATTCCTGTGGTTGACCTTGTGCAACCATGTATCATCAGTTGGAGCATCCCTGCAGGCGATCTTGTAACTTGACCTGTGGTTGACCTTGTGCAACCATGTACCATCAGTTGGAGCATCCCTGCAGGCGATCTTGTAACTTGACCTGTGGTTGACCTTGTGCAACCATGTACCATCAGTTGGAGCATCCCTGCAGGCGATCTTGTAACTTGACCTGTGGTTGACCTTGTGCAACCATGTATCATCAGTTGGAGCATCCCTGCAGGCGATCTTGTACCATTCCTGTGGTTGACCTTGTGCAACCATGTACTATTTGTTTGGCATCCCTTGTTCCTTACCCTTAGGCATCCATAGACCATCCCTTTGGGCAGCTTTAGATAATTCATTTGGGCATCTCTTTGGGAATTCTTTGAAACATGCCTTCTGTACCATGTGCCATCTTCTGGCTCACTTGTGTCATATCCTTGGGCAATCTTAGACTATTCCTTAGAGCATCCCTTATAGCTTTCATTTGGGCATCCCTTTCGGAATCCTTTCGACAATCCTCTCAGGCAACTATGGATTATACTTTGAGCATCCCTTGTACCTTCAGTTGTACCATCCATTTGGGCATCTCTCACACCCATTTGGGCATCCCTTTTACCTCTTTTGGTATCACTTGTACAATCTATTCCGACTTCCTTTGGGCCTATTCCGACTTCCTTTGGGCCTCACTTGGACCATCCCTTTGGGCCTCTCTTGGACCATCCCTTTGGGCCTCTCTTGGACCATCCCTTTGGGCCTCACTTGGACCATCCCTTTGGGCCTCACTTGGACCATCCCTTTGGGCCTCTCTTGGACCATCCCTTTGGGCCTCTCTTGGACTGCCCCTTTAGACATCCCTTGCATCATTGCATTCAGGGATGCCTTGGACCATCCTTTTAGACATCCCATGGACCATTTCTTCAGGTACCTTTGTAACATCCCTTTGGGCAACCTTGGACCATCCCACCAATGTAACATCCCACTGTGTGTCCCTTGTATACATTTGGATTATATCTTTACAGGGAGCAGTCTGTCATCACAGAAATAATGCAGTGCCATATGTCTCAAGTCTGCAGTATTCTGTGTTTTTATGTTCATGTGCCCCATGGAGCCATCATGGACTGACAGGTATCCATTAAGGTGAAAAGAATGGTTCGATGACAAGCTTTTGTCAAATCTACGGCTCATTAGTCGATTTGACAAAAGCTTGTCATCGAACCAATCTTTTCACCTTAATGGATATCTGTTACCCTAAAGTTGAATCATACACAGATGACATTCTTTACATACTAGTAGCTGCTTCAAAATAACAGAGCTTCACCCAAATTTCTATTTATCTGTAGCTGCCAGTAGAAGTGCTTCATAGATAATGCAGAAATGTGGAAGCCATACAAACTATACTGATTTAAAAGGGGTTACAGTGAACTGTGAAGCAAGATGGTATGGAAATGAAAAAAGGGACATTTTTGTCCATTATAACCTTGTGTGAGCTACTCTTCAAAGGCTGGCAGTTAATTCTTACATAGATTCTGATACCAGTATCACTACGTCCAAGTCTTTTGCCAATTTCGGTGCATTTATTCATGGTTATGCAATGAACATTGTCAATATCACATGGTTGCCGTGGCAATGGTGCTGTGTACTGTCAGTCAGGATTACTGTAATAGGTACATGTGTGTCATAAGCATGCATGTCATAACAGTAAGAGCGAATGGTGTGATTCCCACACGATAATGATGAAATGTATGCAGACTATGTACACATATTTGCCATTAATGTGATCTGATTCCCATTTACTGTCCCAGGGATCCATGACAAGTGTGACTCAGGGCAGATGTTCCCAGTGCATGTGCTACAGATATAACACAGCGTACACATTATCGTTGTATTTATTACACATCAGGGATGATATGCATGTAAGGTCTTTGGATATTAGTGACTTGGAGTTAAAGCTGATTATATATTGTGATTTTTAATATTATTTTGCTCAATCAAAATTTATGATCATTTGTGCAAATGTGATTCTGTCTTGTGTGTGAATTATGTAATTACTTATCATATATCTCAGAATTAACTTAAATATATATTTTTTCATTTATGAAGGTATTAATATACATGCTGCTGTGCATACTATGTAAATCTGCATGCTGTGTAAATCTGCATTTGTGTAAATCTGCATGGTGTGTAAATCTGCGTATTGTGTAAATCTGCATGCTGTGTAAATCTGTATTTGTGTAAATCTGCATGTTGCGTAAATCTGCATATTGTGTAAATCTGCATGCTGTGTAAATCTGCATTTGTGTAAATCTGCATGTTGTGTAAATCTTCATGTTGTGTAAATCTTCATACTGTGTAAATCTGCGTACTGTGTAAATCTGCATGCTGTGTAAATCTGCATACTGTGTAAAACTGTGTACTGTGTAAATCTTCATACTGTGTAAATCTACGTACTGTGTAAATCTGTGTACTGTGTAAATCTGCATGCTCTGTAAATCTTCATACTGGGTAAATCTGTGTACTGTGTAAATCAGCTGATGTAAATTGTGCTGAGGCCCTACTTCTCCAGTCATGGAACATATACCAATGAGATGCATTTTAC